CATCATCATCATCATCATTATCATCATCATCATCATCATCATCATCAGCAGCATGGTCATCATCATGATCAGCAGCAGCATCACCATCATCATCGTCAACATCTTCCTCACCCTCATCAACATCATCGTCAGCATCATCAGCAGCAGCGGCCTCATCAGCAGCAACATCATCATCATCATCATCATCATCATCATCATCATCATCATCCGCAGCATCATTAGCATCACCGTGCTGGTCGTCCTAAACCTCATCATCATCATCATCATCATCATCATCATCATCATCATTATCACCACCACCGTCATCGCCGTCGTAACAATCATCTCACATGAACCGCGTCATCATCATCATCATGATCATCATCAGCAGCAGCAGCAGCAGCATCATCATCCTCATCATCACAAACAGTGCCACCAGCAGCATCAGAAAAATGATAATCGGAATCGCCGTTGGCATCATCACCATCATCATCATCACCATCATCGTCGTCGTCCGCATCATCGTCAGCATAATGATCGTCATCAGCATCATGATCACCATCATCATCAGCAGCATCATCATCGTCGTCAGCATCGTCGTCATCATCAGCAGAATGATCGTCGTCATCGTCATCATCATCATCACCATCATCCGCACTGATGATCCTCATCAGCATCTCATCATCATCATCATCAGCATCATCATCATCATCAGCATCAGCATCAGCATCATCATTGTCACCCCCTTTCTTCTTGTTCTCTTTCTTTTCCCCTTCCTCCTCCTCCACCTCATCCTCCTCATGATGGTCATCAGCATCATCATCATTAGCATCATCCGAATCATCATCATCATCATCATCAGCAGCAGCAGCATCATCATCATCATCATCATCATCATCATCATCATCAGAAGCATCATCATGAGCGTCATCATCATGATCAGCAGCAGCATCACCATCATCATCGTCAACATCTTCATCATCCTCATCAACATCATCGCCAGCATTATCAGCAGCAGCAGCCTCATCAGCAGCATAATCATCAGCATCAGCATCAGCACCATCCGCAGCATCATCAGCATCATCGTGCTCGCCAACGTACACCTCATCATCATCATCATCATCATCATCATCATCATCATCATCATCATCATCATCATCATCATCATCATCATTATCATCATCATCAGCAGCAGCAGCATCATCATCACCATCACCATCACCATCACCATCGCGGCCGTCATGATCATCTCACATAACCCGCGTCATCATCATCATCATCATCATCATCAGCAGCAGCAGCAGCATCAACATCATCATCCTCATCATCACGAACTGTGTCACCAGCAGCATCAGAAAAATTATAGCCAGTGCAGTAACCCCAAACAGGGTTTCTACACCCACTGCGGTTTACAAGGTCGATTGCGTGCCCGTCCAGTGCGGGCTGGCATGGCATGTTAGAACATGCCTCCTCCTCCTTCTCCTCCTCCTCCTCCTCATCATCATCATCATCCACCTCCTGTTCATCCCAAACGGCATCTCGGAGCCCAGAGTTGCGAAGATGTCTCCAGCGTAACGGGCTGGACCACCTCGCGCGCGGCATCTCAGACCCCAGAGTTGCGACGATGTCTCGGGCGAAACGTGCTGCGAGGAAGTCTCAGGCGAAACGGGCCAGACCACCTCGAGCGCGGCGTCTCAGAGCTCCGAGTTGCGGGGGCCTCCTGGGGCCTCCTGGGGCATCCTGGGGACCTCCTGGGGTTTCCTCCTGGGCCCCCTGTGGCCTCCTGGACCCCACCTGGGGCTTCCTGAAGCCTCTTGGGGCTCCCAGGGGGGGATATCTAACATGTGGCCGTCGGGGCCCCCCAAAATGGGGGCACAAGAGCAGGAAAAATCCACGAATCGACACCGGATGCGTATTAACTTGACACGTTCTGTTAGAGGGCCTCCTGGGGGCTCCTGGGAGCCTCCTGGGAATCTCCTGGGGACCCCTGGGGCCTTTCCTGGGCGTCCTGCGGCCTCCTGAAGCTCTCTGGGGCCTCCTGTGGCTCCCAGGGTCCCAGGGGGGATATGTAACATGTGGTCTTCTGGGCCCCCAGGCTGGACCACCTCTTGCGCGGCATCTGGGAGCTCAGAGTTGCGAGAATGTCTTGTGCGAAACAGGCCGGACCACCTTGCGCACGGCATCTCAAAGCTCAGAGTTGCGAGGATGTCTCAGGCGAGGACCCAGAGTTGCGAGGATGTCTCCAGCGTAACGGGCTGGACCACCTCGCGCGCGGCATTTCGGACCCCAGAGTTGCGACGATGTCTCGGGCGAAACGTGCTGCGAGGAAGTCTCAGGCGAAACGGGCCGGACCACCTCGAGCGCGGCGTCTCAGAGCTCCGAGTTGCGGGGGCCTCCTGGGGCCTCCTGGGGCATCCTGGGGACCTCCTGGGGCTTCCTCCTGGGCCCCCTGTGGTCTCCTGGACCCCACCTGGGGCTTCCTGAAGCCTCTTGGGGCTCCCAGGGGGGGATATCTAACATGTGGCCGTCGGGGCCCCCCAAAATGGAGAGGGGGGGCCACAAGAGCAGGAAAAATCCACGAATCGACACTGGATGCTGATTAACTTGACACGTTCTGATAGGGGGCCTCCTGGGAATCTCCTGGGGACCCCTAGGGCCTGTCCTGGGCGTCCTGCGGCCTCCTGAAGCTCTCTGGGGCCTCCTGTGGCTCCCAGGGTCCCAGGAGGGATACCTATACGACCGCCCTGCGGGCGGTAAGAAGGTGGGGGGGGATCGGATAAGAAAGCCCGCCGCAGGCGCCGAAAAAAATGAATTATGAAATTAGCGACATGCGTTAGCGCCGGGACGCCCGGGACGCCTGGGACACCCAGGACACCCGGGACACCGCCCGGCCCAACCGGCCACCAGCGGACGGGCACACGGACACCCGGAACACCCCGGAACACCGCCTGGCCACACCGGCCACCGGCGGACGGGCACATGCACCTGGGACACCCGGGACACCGCTGGCCACACTGGCCACTGGCGGACGGGCACACGGACTTTCGCTCCTACTTCGGCCTAGCGACAGGCGGGTTCATTCCTCTCGCGCGCCTACGCAGCTTCGCCTCGCCCGCACGCACGACACGAACACGAAGCCGAAACCTATTTCCCGGTGGGGGGTCTCCGTTTCCCTGCGATCTCACCCCCCAACCTCCGATGTAACATTTGGTCTTCTGGGCCCCCAGGCTGGACCACCTCTTGCGCGGCATCTCAGAATTCAGAGTTGCGAGGATGTCTTGTGCGAAGCGGGCCGGACCACCTTGCGCACGGCATCTCAGAGCTCAGAGTTGCGAGGATGTCTCAGGCGAGACGGGCCGGACCACCTCTCGCGCGGCATCTCGGAGCCCAGAGATGCGAGGATGTCTCGGGCGAAACGGGCTGGACCACGTCGCGCGCGGCATCTCCGAGGTCAGAGTTGCGAGGATGTCTCAGGCGAAACGGGCTGGACCACCTCTTGCGCGGCAGCTCAGAGCTCAGAGTTTCGAGGATGTCTCAGGCGAAACGTGCCAGACCACCTCGCGTGCGGCATCTCAGAGCTCAGAGTTTCGAGGACGTCTCAAACGAAACGGGCCAGACCACGTCTCGCGCGGCATCTCGGAATGCAGCAGGACCACCTCTTGGGCGGCATCTCGGGGCTCAGAGTTTGGAGGATGTCTCAAGCGAATCGGGCCGGACCACCTCGCGCATGGCATCAGAGAGCGCAAAGTTGCGAAGATGTCTCAGGCAAAACGGGCAGGACCACCTCGCGCACGGCATATCAGAGCTAAGAGTTTGGAGGATGTCTCAGGCGAAACGGGCCAGACCATCTCTTGCGCGGCATCTCGGAACCCATAGTTTTGAGGATGTCTCAAGCGAAATGGGCTGGACCACCTCTTGCGCGGCATCTCAGAATTCAGAGTTGCGAGGATGTCTCAGGCGAAACGCGCCGGACCACCTGGCGCACGGCATCTCAGATCTCAGAGTTTGGAAGATGTCTCAGGCGATACGGGCCGGACCACCTCTCGCGCGGCATCTGGGAGCTCAGAGTTTGGAGGATGTCTCAGGCGAAACGGGCTGGACCACCTCTCGCGCAGCATCTGGGAGCTCAGAGTTTCGAGGATGTCTCAGGCGAAATGGACCGGACTACATCTTGCGCGGCATCTGAGAACTCAGAATTTGGAGGATGTCTCACGCGAAACGCCCAATCCCGGACAACTCAGAAACGAGAGTTGCGAGGATGTCTCAGGGGAAACGGCTGGGACCACCAATTTTTTTTGAGGACGTCTCTGCTTTGAATTCCCTCGGCCGGAGTTAGCTTCTATCACAACAGCACCCCGTTCAGCAAGTTGTTTGGGGAATAATAATCGGAGTCGCCGTTGGCATCATCACCATCATCATCACCATCATCGTCGTCGTCCGCATCATCATCAGCATCATGATCATCATCAGCATCATGATCAGCATCATGATCATCATCAGCATCATCATCATCGTCGTCATCATCAGCATCATTATCGTCGTCATCGTCATCGTCAACGTCATCATCATCACCATCATCAGCACTGATGATCATCATCAGCATCATCACCATTATCATCATCATGGCCATCCTCGTTGTCATCATCATCACCCCCTTTCTGCTTGTTCTGTTGCTGTTCCCCCTCCTTCTCCTCCTCCTCCTCCTCCTCCCTCGCTTCTGGAGGGCCTGTAAGCAGCTGCTCCAGGTTCTGGTCCGTCAGCTCCACCCGCGACTTCCGGAGGTTCTCCAGGAAGGCGTGTCTGGCCGCCTGCCCGGACCACCACCCGGCAGGCGCGGCGGCGTCGTCGTCGTCGTCGTCGCCGTCGTCGTCGTCGTCGTCGCCGTCGTCTCCAAAAAACACTGGAGCTCGTCCACGTCCATTCCCCCTCACTGGCCCGTTGCCACAGGTGTTCCCCACTCGGGGTGTTGCGAACTCTCCGCGCCAACCTGGGGCCCCTGGGGCCCTCTTGGCCTGTCGAGGGGTGCTCAGGAGACCGCCTGAGCCTCCCAGGAAATCCTGAGGACACCTCTTGTCAGGCACACCTCTGGCAGCACCCGATCTTTGAGCCTCAGCTCCTCGCGTCGCGAACCATACTCGAGAGATCCACGAACCTGGTAAGGAACTTGAGTCAGACTTTGTTTTCTCCTCCTCTTCCTGATCCTCCTGCTCCTCATCCTGCTCCGCCTCCTCCTCATCACTATCACATCCTCATCATCAGCATCAGCATCAGCATCAGCATCAGCATCATCATCATCATCATCATCATCATCATCATCAGCAGCAGCAGCAGCAGCATCATTTTCATCATCCTCCTCCTCATCCTCATCCTCATCCGCATCCTCCTCCTCCTCTTCCTCCTTCTCTTCCTCTTCATCTTCATCTTCATCTTCATCTTCCACTCCCTCCCTCCATCCTTCCTCCCTCCCTCCTGCATCCTCCCTCCTGATCCTCCTTAAACTCATCCTCCTCCACCTCCTCCACCTGCCCCATCCGCTTTCTCACCTCATCCTCATCCTGCTCATGCTCACCCTCACTTACCTCCCCCTCATCCTCATCAGCAGCCTCATCATACTCCTCCAGCTCCACCTAATCGTCCTCCACCTCACTTTCCTCCCCCTGCTCATCCTCCTCCTTCTCCTCCACCTCCTCCTGCCCCCATCATCATCATCATCATCATCATCATCATCAGCAGCAGCAGCAGCATCATCATCAGCATATCATCATCATCATCATCATCATCATCATCATCATCATCATCATCATCATCATCATCATCATCATCATCATCATCAGCATCATCATCATCATCATCATAATCATCATCAGCAGCAGCATCCTCATCATCATCATCATCAGCATCATCATCATCATCACCATCATCATCATCATCCTCATCAGCAGCATCATCATAATCATCATCATTATCATCATCATCATGATCAGCATAATCATCAACATCAGCATCAGCATCATCATCAGCATCAGCAGGATCATCACCATCATCGTCGTCATCATCATCAGCAGCAGCATCATCCTCACCCGCATCATCCGAATCATCAACATCGCCAACATCATCATCCTCCAGATCAGCGTCAGCATCATCATCAGCATCATCAGCATCATCATCATGACCATCATCGTCATCATCATAATCATCAGCATCGTCATCATCATCATCATCATCCTCATCATCATAAGCATCGTCATCATCATCCACATCAGCATCAGCATCATCAGCATCATCAGCATCATCAGCATCATCAGCATCGTCATCATCCTCATCCACATCATCATCAGCATCGTCATCATCCTCATCCACATCATAAGCAGCAGCAGCGTCATCAGCATCGCCATCATCATCACCATCACCATCATCATCATCATCATCATCATCATCATCATCATCATCATCATCATCATCATCATCATCATCATCGTTAGCAGCATCACCACAATCAGCATCATCAGCAGCAGCAGCATCATCGTCAGCATCATCGTCAGTTTCAGGAGCAGCATCATCATCAACACCTGCACCATCACCCATCATCAGCATCATCAGCATAATCTCGTCATCAGCATCATCACCGTCATCATCATCATCATCATCATCAGCATCAGTAGCATCATCATCATCATCAGCAGCAGCATCATCATCACAATCGCCAGCATCATCAACATCCGCATCACCAGCATCACCAACAACATCAACATCAGCATCATCATCGTCATCATCATCAACAACATCAACATTAACATCATCATCATCATCATAATCATCATCATCATCATCATCATCATCATCATCATCATCATCATCATCATCATCATCATCATCATGAGCAGCATCATCAACAGCGGCAGCATCATCTCCATTCTCCCTCTCCCCCTCCTCCTCCTCCTTCTTCTCCTCCTCCTCCGTCTGCTGCTCCTCCTGTCAAGCCACTGTGGCCCGAATGGCCCCCCGCAACGCCGCTCGGCCGTCGTCCCGGGGCTCAATGTGGGGAGGTGCGCCGCCCCCTGTCGCTTGAGGCCCAGGCGCTCCTGGCAACGCTGGGTTGGATGTGTTCGCCTCTCTTCGGGTACACACCGCTGCAGCTCGCTTTCCTGGTGGTCTCCTCGTGTTCATGAGGCAGGCTTCTTGGTGGATGGTCTGCTGGGCGTGCTGGTGATCGTTGTGGGCATGGGGTCCGCTACGGTGTTCGAGGCAGTGTGTACTTGTATTGCGGGCTTGGGCGCTTTCCACTGGTTGTCATTGTGCAGTCGATTTCTGGTGGGATGGGGCTCAGGTATTTTTTTCGAGGGATCCCTCGCCCTCGAGCCTGGTGTGCCCTCAGGACGTTTTGGTGCAGTGTTCGGCGGTGCATTTCACGTAGTGGGTTATGTTTTTTTCTTTTCTGACTGGTAACTATACGTAAGTAGCGTGCAGCTCGCAACATACTTCGCGAGTGTTATTAAAGGTGGCACAGTTTATTACTTCACTGCGAGTCACTACTGTTGCAAGGTATCTTCCTCATTGTCTTCTTGTGTTATTTATCTTCTTCAGGGAAGCGAAGTTGCTCATTATGTCTTGCCACGGGTTGTGCTCGTGGGCGGGCAACATCGTGTGGGTGTGACATTCGTTACGCGTCTTGGGGTACGCGGCCTCATTGTTTTCGGTGTGGCGGTCATGCCAAGCAGGCTTTGGTGCAGCAAGTCGGCATTGTGTTTTTCGTTGTGTGCTCTCATCCAATTCTGGCTGGTGGTTGAAAGAAGCATGCAGCTCGCCACATTCCGGGTATTGCCGGAAGGGGCATCGTTATTGCGTCACTGCGGATTGCATCATGTCGGTGTGTTTGCTCATTGTCTTCTACGCTCTACGCCATTGTCTTCTACCCGTCCATGAAGGTGTAGGGTGTCTGTTTCCCTGAGGCGTGAGTGTTCGAGCGTGCCCTGGCTTGACCAGGTCCCCACGGTCGCCCGACCCGAACCGATCCTCCTGCTCCTCGTCCTCCATCTCCTCCTCCTTCTCCTCCTCCTCCTCGTCCTCCTCCCACTCCTACTCCACTTCCACTTCCTCCTCCTCCTCCTCCTCATCCTCCTCCTTCTCCTCCTCCTCTGCTCCTCCTCCTCCGCCACCTCCTCGTCCTCCTCCTTCTCCTCCTCCTCGTCATCATCCTCGTCCTCCTCCTCCTCCTCCTTCTCCTCCTCCTCCTCCTCCTCCTTCTCCTCCCCCTCCTCCTCCTCCTCCTCCTCCTCCTCCTCCTCCTCCTCCTCCTCCTCCTCCTCTTCCTCCTCCTCCTCCTCCTCCTCGACTCCCTAGCGCCTCTCTGCGCAACCCCCAACTGTACTGCATCTCTTCCAGCTCGAGACAGGCCAGTCCGCACACCTCTCGAGGCGGCCGAAGTGCTGCGGTTGGGGCGCACGCGTGCGCAGGAGGGGCAGGGAGGGAGGGAGGGAGGGAGGGGAGGATGGAGAGAAAGAGCGAGGTGAGGAGGGAGGGAGGGAGGAAGGGAGGGGAGGAAGGAGGGAAGGAGCGAGGAGGGAGGGATAGAGGAAAGGAAAGAGAGGATGGAGGAAGGGGGGAGGGAGGGGAGGAGAGAGGAGGGGACGGGAGGGAGGGAGGCTTGTTTGGGTTCGGTCATGCTTGCGCGAAATTGCATGCCTTATTAGAGCTGGAAGGGCGCTCGACAGACGACGCCTGCATGCGAGCCAGCACGCCTAGGGACACAGACCTCCTCCGCTGGGTCCAGTTTGGCGAAATCCCAGGCAGTGAGAGGCAGCGGACGCGCGGGGGAGGAAGACTCGAGAGGAAAGCAGAAGGGCGAACAGGCAATCGGGCGAATGCACAACTGCTCGCCCGTCGGCCTGGAGGCCTGGCGGCGAATCGGAGAGAGGACTGCAGGGAAGAAACGGAGCCAAGCTATTTGAAATGAGGCGCTGCTCGGGCATCTCGCACGGATGCGAAGAATGGCACGAGAGGGGGGGGCCAAGGAAAGGATGCGAATGAGGCTGGTCGGGCACCTCTCAGCGTGATGAATACGATGGAAGCCTGACGGGCAGGCTGGAAAATTGACGACCTACCAAACCACCTCAACCCAACCTTCACCCGAATTTCGGGTTAGGGGGGTGTGGGCTTCATATGTGTTTTGTCAATGCTCCCCGACCCCCCCCCCCCGGAAATGGAAGGCAGGGCAAATCGGGGCCTTCGGGTTGGGTTGGGGTGGTTTGGTGGGCGGTGACCAAGCGAATGGAACAGGAGGCTGGTCGGGCACCTCGTATCGAGAGCGTCAGATGTATGGGACCCAGACCACTTACAGGCGAGGCTGGCCGGGCATCCCTTGGCGCAGGAGCACGAGAAGGAGTGCGGAGGGAGCAGAGGTGGGAGCCGAGCGGGGAGCCGAGCGGGGAGCCAGAGCAGGCTGGCCCGGCGCATCGTGCGCGAGACGAGGGAAGCCAGAAGAGGGAAGAACGAGTGTGAACAGTCGGGGGAGCACGCGCCAAAGATGTCGGGCGCTGCTCTGGGAGTGCCAAGCTCACAGCTGGGGCCAATTCAAGAGGGAGGCAGACCTCCCGGCTGGAGCCTGCAGGGGCTGGTAGCTGCTGACCCATCTACATCACGGTAGGGCGGCCCAGTATAACACATCGTCCACGGCCCAGCCTATGTACTTTGATTGATTGTCCACTGGAAGCTGCGACAACACGCGGCCGGATGAAGAATAATAGGTTATTGCGGTACCCGGCCAGAGGCGTGTGGGCCTGCGTGAATGTCTATATGAAAGCATCTACGAGAAAATAAACGGCCATGTGGGGAGAACCATGGTTAGGCGCGCTGGCGGATCTTCGCGCTGGCGGTGTACGCGCGTCTGTGTACCGACACGGGGTTCGAACAAGTCGACATCGGCTATGGGGTGGGGGTCAGGGATCAGGCCGAGGCGCAGCATCCGGTTCGGATGAGGGCTGGAGTGCAAGGGGAAACCATGGAGGGCGCGGGATTCCCATGTGTCACGGCCCCGCAGCCCTCCGCACAGGCCGAGGGCCACTAGGGCACAGGCCGTGGTGGCAAACAGCACGGCGGCACCAGCCGCTGCCTGCCATCATAGCCTGCACCACCTAGCGGACCTCGCGGCCCGCTAGAGCAGCATCAATGCGCCAGGACTGCACTGAGGCCCTCTCAACAGGGCCTCGGCAATCAAGGCCCCTCCACACTGAGGCCTCGATGGAGGCACGGGCGCCGCAGCGGCGGCACGTCAAAAATTTGTCAGCGGCCTGCACGCAATGGCCCCGATACTCGAAAGTTTCCAGAGCCTGCCCGTGCAGGCCATCATACGTGAGCCCCAGTTCACGACAGGCGTTCAAGACAGCATCACTACGCGCCCTGGGCAGGAGGCCATTGTGACGCTCGGCTCTAACAGCTGCGAGATACAAGTGGAGCGGCGTGGGCTCAAACTTATTGCCAGGCTGCTCAAGCTTTGCGAGGTAACACATGAGAGGACGTGTGGGGAAAATAAAAAGAAGAAAGGAGGAGAAGGGAATTCGAAGTGGTCCATAGTATTCGGCAGCAGGTTGCGTTCGTGCGGCGAGTCGACGTCCGTAGCCTTTTCCGACTTCAGGGGCGCTGCGCATTTCTTGTGGATGAAGCGCGTTGGCGCGGGCAGTCCACATCTTTACAGGCCACGGGTCGGAGAAACGCGCCGCATCGCCGATGCATCGCAGAAGTATTGTCCAGCATCGGCGAAGCATCGGCAATGCATAGGCGCCGTCGGCGATGCATCGCCGCCGTCGGCGCGGCGAAAACTGAGCTGGCTGGAGTCGACCACGCGTTCACGGGCGCGGGGTCTATATTTCAGCAGCGACAACAGCAGCAGCAGCAACACCAGGAGCCGTCTTTGCGGTCGGAGGTAGCAGTGGCCGCGCCCTCGGCGGCGAATCGGGCCCACATCGTCGCTCATTTCAGGGAGGCGCGTTTCAGTAAAGGGGTGTTGTTCATCGGGGAGGCGCGCTCCACCGAGGCGCACTTCATAATGAGGCCTGCTTCATCCTGCAAGCGCGCTTCATGGTGGTGTGCGCCACGGAAGTTGTTCCATGATCATGGAGGCATGCTTCATCACCGGGGCGTGTTTCACGGAGGCGTGTTTCGCGGAGGTGTACTTCATTATCCAAGTGTGCGTCGCGGAGGCGTGCTTCATCATCGAATGTGCTTTACGGAGGCCAGCATCATCATGGAGACGTGATTCATCATGGAAGCGAACTTCCTCGGAGAGGCATGCTTCATCGAAGCGTGCTTCACGGAAGCGTTCTTCACAAAGGCGTGCCTAAAGAAGACGTGCTTCATGGCAGCGAGCTTCACCGAGGTGTGCTCCACGGAGGTGTGCGGCATCGAGGAGGCGTGTTTCACGGAGGCGCGTCTCGAGGAGAATTGTGCTTCGCGAAGGCCTGCTTCATCATGGAAGCGTGCTTCACAGAAGCGCCCTCATCAGCAGGTCCCTCCTCTTCTGGGTGATGACGTAAGCAGGGTCATCATCTTCATGGCTCCTCGGGCCAAGGCTGCCTGGCTGGAGTCGCTCTCCAGTCACCAGTGGCCGTCACACCCGCGCAGCGGGGTGCAGACACAACAGGGTGTGTCGGACCATCGGGCAGCAGTTGCGTCTGCAACGCGCGGTTGCCGCTCCCCGCCAGAGCCCACGGCACCAGGTGATCATGTGTATTCACACCACTGCGACCACAAATCATCATCATCATCATCATCATCATCATCATCATCATCATCACCACCACCACCACCACCATCATCATCATCATCATCATCATTATCATCATCACCGTCCTCCTCACCACCATCACCATCCTCATCATCTCTCAGCGAACGCCCCCACCGTAGAGTACCGACTCTCCCGCGCGGGGCCGCCTGGCGGGCCTCTCCCGCGCCCGCCGCCGGGCCGCCGGCGCCCCGCACGGCCGTGGCCGCCCGCTGCTCTCGCCGCTGCCTCCTGCGGGGTCCGCGGAGCGCTGGACACGGGGCCGTTTCCGGCCCCCGGAGGCCCTCGCCGGGCCTCGGGGCCGTCAGGATGCCACTCACGACAAACAAAAACCTGGCCCTGGGGAAGCGGCCCAGGCTTCCTGGGCCCGCGCATCGAAAAAATTGGAGCGGCCTGGGCTCCCACTCCCACTCCGCCACCCCGCTCCTCCCTTCTCCTCCTCCTCCTCCTCCTCCTCCTCCTCCTCCTCCTCCTCCTCTTCCTCCTCCTCCTCCTCCTCTTCTTCCTCTCCTCCTCCTCCTCCTCCCCCTCCTCCTCCTCCCTCTCCCCCCCTCCTCTCCTCCTCCTCCTCCTCCTCCTCCTCCTCCTCCTCCTCCTCCTTCTCTTCCTTCCTTCCTTCCTTCCTTCCTTTCTTCCTCCCTATCCGTTTTTGCTCGACAACCTCTTGCGCAGCATCGTGGCGAAGTGGGAGGAACAGCGCTGTCGACGCGCGCGCGCTCCTCCATCCAGTTCCCTCCTCCCCTTCCGCCTCCTCATTCTCCGCCCTCCAGCTCCCTCCTCCTCCTCCCCACCACCAGCAACAACAACAACAACAACAGCAACAACAACAACCACAACAACAACAACAACAATAACAACAACAACAACAACAACAACAACAACAACAACAACAACGACAACAACAACAACAACAACAACAACAACAACAACAACAACAACAACAACAACAGCAACAGCAACAACAACAACGACAAGATCACCAACGGCAGCAACAACAACAGCAGCAAGAACAGCAACAGCAGCAGCAACAACCACAATAGCAATCAACACAACAACAACAACAACAACAACAACAACAACAACAACAACAACAACAACAACAGCAGCAGCAACAACAACAACGACAACAACAACAGCAACAGCAGCAACAACAACAGTAACAACGGCAGCCACAACAACAACAGCAACAACAACAACAACAACAGCAACAGCAACAACAACAACAACAATGTCAACAGTAACAGCAGCAACAATAACAACAACGATAACGGCAACGGCAACGACAACGACGACAACAACGAAAGCAACATCGTTAACAACAACAGCAGCAACAACAGCAACAGCGACAGTGACAACAGCAGCAGCAATAATCACTACCACAACAACAATGATAACAACAATGACAACAACAACTACAACAACAATAGAAGGAACAACCACCACAACAATCACAGCAACAACCACAATAATTGGAATAGTGTTCGCTCTTGTCTGCTCGCGTGCCACTAAACACTTATATCCCAAAAACTCGATGGCCGCCCTCTCCGTCTGCGATCGTACCCCATTGGGGGTTGATCTTCTTATCTGCTACCTGAAGTTCGTGCAGCCCCTAAGGCGGGGGAAGAGAAGGCGAATGGAAGGAAGAGACAAGGGGGAGGGAGGAGGAGCGAGCACGAGAGAGAGTGGCAGGAGGGGGCTAGGAGCAAAAAACACATGGTAGAACCAGACGGTCTGATCGGGCGGGCAGACCCTAACGGGCGGGTTGGGAAGGCGGGCCCAGGCTGCCAGGTCGAGCAGGCGGGCTGCTGAAGGGTGCGTCCTGCATGAATCGCGGAGAAATCTCGAGCGATAGCGCGATTCCCAAGTGAACTGTGAGAAATCCACAGCGAAAGCATACTTCCTGAGTGTCGAAGGCGCGGCGTCTGAATAAATTGCGTGGAAGACCCGCGCGAGAGCGCGATTCCTGCATAAATTATGAAGAAGGCCCGCGCGAGAGCGCGACTTGTCAATAAATTGTGAAGGAGTGTCAGGCGGGAGCCGTTGTTCTTGTAACTCGGGGGCCAGGGGGCAGTTCGACCTTGACCCTCAAGACCTTCCCTGATTAAAAACAGGGTGCGAGCCCCTGGAGTGGACGTCAACTTGAAAAACAGAATGTGCGCCCGCGGGGGGGGGAACCAACAATAATGAGTCTTGAGATGCGAGAATACAAGAAAGACCGTCCATGACCCCAGGGGCTCGGGGACCGGCTAGCCTTTCCTCCATAGGGGGGCAGGGGCCATCCCCGGCCCCTGGGTGGCACCAAACACCCCCAAAACAACCACCACCACCACCGCCACCACCACCACCACCACCACCACCACCACCACCACAACAACAACAACAACAACAACAACAACAACAACAACAGCAGCAGCAGCAGCAACAACAGCAACAACAGCAACAACAACATCAACAACGACGATAATTACTCCGACAGTCGGACCCCGCATGAGAATGTGTTTAACTTGCCCCTCGTTTCCTCCTCGTCGCCTTGGCGGAGGCGTCCTCCCGACCTCAGATGCGCATCGTCCTCCTCCTCCTCGCCTTCTTCGCCCTCCGTCTGCTCCTCCTTCTTCTTTTCCTCCTTCTCCTTCTCCTTCTCCTCCTCCCCCGTTCCTCCTTCTCGCCCTCCTCCTACTCTTCCTCCTCCTCATCATCCTCCTCCACTCCTCCTCCTCCTCCTCCTCCTCCTCCTCCTCCTCCTCTCCTTCTCCTCCTCCTCCCCCTCCTCCTCATCCTCCTCTCCTCCTTCTTCTCCTCCTCCTCCTCCTCCGCCTCCTCCTCCACCGCCTCCTCCTCCTCTTCCTCCTCCTCCCTTCCCCCCTCCCCCTCCCCCTCCCGCTCCTCCTCCCCTCCTCCTCCTCCTCTTCCTCCTCCTCTCCTCCTCTTCCGCCTCCTCCCCTCCTCCTGCTTCTTCTCATTCCTTCCTCCCCCTTTCCTCTCTTCCTCCTCCTCCTTCTCCCTCCTCCTCCTCCGCCTCCTCCTCCTCCTGCTCCTCCTCCTCCTCCCCTTCCTCCTCCCCCTCCCCCTTCCCTCCCGCTCCTCCTCCTCCTCCTCCTTCTCCTCCTCCTCCTCGTCCTCCTGCTCCTTCTCCTCCTCCTCCTCCTTCTCCTCCTCCTCCTTCTCCTCGACCTGCTCCTCCTTCTCATCCCCCTCATCCTGCTCGTAGTATAATAGTCTATTGGTATGACTCGCATTAACAATATGTTCATGATTACGCTCATTATTAATCATAGTATGATTAGTGTTAGTATGATCAGTACGACCATCAGTAGTATTAGCATTACGGTGAAGTAGAGTACGAGTGCTGCTCGAACTACTACTATCCGTAGTGGTAATGGTATGATACTTAATATTACTGCTAGTGGTAGCAGTAACATAATAATAACACACACAGAAGAATAGGATTAATACGAAACACAGTGTTATTGGCATTCTGAATAATTAGGATTCGAATTAACATGTGTCTTCTTATGGACCATAGTATTACGATTCGTCTTCGTCTTCGCCTTCGTATACTGTTTGAACGTATTCGTACGAATCCTCCTCAGCATCATCATCATCCTCCACCTACCCCTTTCATCCTCCTCCTCCGCCTCCTCCTCCTTTCCTCCTCCTCCTCCTCCTCATCGTCATCAGAATCATCATCCTCCTCCTGCCTCCTTCTCCTCCTCCTCCTCTTCCTCCTTCTCCTCCTCCGCCTCCTTCTCATCCACTTCCTCATCATTCTCTTCCGCCTTCTCCTCCTCCTCCTCCTCCAATTCCCCCTCCTCCTCCTCCTCCTCCTCCTCCAACTCCTCCTCCTCCTCCCCCTCCTCCTCCTCTCCTCCTCCTCCTCCTCCTCCTCCCTCCTCCTCCCTTCCTCCCTCCTCCTCCTCCTTCCCTCGTCCTCCTCCTCCTATCCTCCTCCTCCGCCTCCTCCCTCCTCCTTCTCATCCACCTCCTTCATTATCTCCTCCTCCTCCTGCTCCACCTCCCCCTCCTCCCCTTCCTCCTTCCCCGCCCCGACCTAGTCGCTATATCCAGAACTCCAGAACTCCTCCTCCTCTCTCCTCTCCTCCTCCTCCTCCTCTTTCCTCCTCCTCCTCTCCTCCTCCTCCTCCTCCCCCTCTCTCCTCCTCCTCCTCCTCCTCCTTCTCCTCCTCCTCCTCCTCCTCCTCCTCCTCCTCCTCCTCCTCCTTCCTCCATTCCTTCTATGTATGAATAACTTCTCCCCGTCGCACCCCAGGGCGGACCGGGCGTTTCGCCTGAGAGTTCCTCACCATCTATGACTATGAAGCTTAAAAAGTGGCAACGGTTTCACAGATGGAGGGCGGGTGGTTTTCAATATTTGGCTCTCGCCTCAGCGCCGCGCACATCCGCTTTAACAAGTTGGAAGGGCTTCACGGATTGAGGGCGGCTCCTTTTCAAAATGTGGTTCCCGCATCAGCGCCGCGCACATTCGTTTTTTAACTTTGCGAGAACTTCACGGATTGAGGGCGGGTGGTTATTCGCTTTCAAAATCTGTAAACACTTCACGGGTTGAGGGCGGGTCGTTGTCAAAATGTTGCTCTCGCCTCAGCGCCGCGCACATTCGTTTTCAAAATATGCGAAAGCTTCGCGGATTGAGTGCGGGTGGTTTTCAATATGTGGCTCTCGCCTTAATGCCGCGCACATTCGTTTTCAAAATTCGCAAAAGTTTCACTGATTGAAAACGGAAATGTGGCTCTCGCCTTAGCGTCGCGAACTTCGTTTTCAAAATTTGCAAGGGCTTCACGGATTGAGGGCGGCTCCTTTTCAAAATGTGGCTCTCGCCTTCACGCCGCGCACATTCGCTTTCAAAATTTACAGGAGTTTCACGGATTGAGGGCGGGTGGTTTTCAAAATGTGGCTCTCGCCTTAGCGCCACGCACATTCGTTTTCAATAGTTGCGAGAGCTTCGCGGATTCACATGATCAACGTACCAGAAATGGTGTTTGGGAAGGATTCAGGATTACGCGGGTGCAACAGTTATCTTGAGTCGCGGTGCTGAAATCCCAAAAACGGCACGCTTCCAGATCGTCAAATCGCAGCAGTCAGGTTGCTACGTGGCGTTGAAATCCCGAGAACAATGTTTTGGCATGCTGCATGGTCTTCAAACGGTTGTCTTCCAACGAGGCAGTTTCCTCAATGGAAATCAACCGTTGTATGGGGCCTATGAACAGGGAGCTTGGAGGGAA